CCCCCCCCCCCACCCACCCCCCCACACAAAAAAAAAAAAAAAAAAAAAAAAAAAAAAAAAAAAAAAAACCCACCCAAAAAAACACAAAAAAAAGGGGGGGGGGGGGGGGGAGAAGATATAACAACTACAATTTTTTGAAGTTGTTACAACAAGCAAACGGAAAGGACATTGTTGGGTGGGAGGGGGGAGAGGGAGGAGGGAGGGAGGTTTCAGTGATGGGCCATAATAATCAACTACATTGTATATCGACAAAATAAAAATTTAAAGGAAAAAATAATTTTATTTTGAAGTGTTTATTCAAATTATTGAATTAGTTAAGGGTAATATTAAAAAATTTTATTATTATTATTATTTTTTTTAAAGATGACCGGTAAGGGGATCTTAACCCTTGGTTTGGTGTTGTCAGCACCACGCTTAGCCAGTGAGCGAACTGGCCATCCCTATATAGGGATCCGAACCCATGACCTTGGTGTTATCTGCACCGCACTCTCCCGAGTGAGCCACGGGCCGGCCCTTTTTAAAAAATTATTTTAATTTATCAATATACAATATAATTGGTTTTCATGTCCCTTTATCAATTCCTCCTTTTTTCTCCCTCCCTCTCCCCCCATCAATATCATATCAGTTCACTTGTCTTAACAAGATCAAGGAATTGTTGTGATTGTTGTTGGATAAGTTTTTTGATGAATCAACTATCAACTCAAACTAGATAGGTTTGGACAACAGTGTAACTCATCATCTGAACCCAGAAACAGAACAGATGTAACAGATTTAGGAACATTTCTTGGTAAATCCCTAATGGAGATAGGCACATTTGGACAGAAAAAAGACTTCATGTGCTTCCTGGCACACACATGTGTCTTCCATAGTGGGTTGTGTGAATGTGAGTGCGTGTCTCTCCAGGCCCTGGCTGTAGGATGAGAACTCCCCTGGTCCTTAACTGCTGTCCTGCTTCCCCTTGTTTTGCCAGAACCGGAGGAAGAGATCATTGCCGAGGACTATGATGATGATCCCGTGGACTATGAGGCCACCCGGTTGGAGGGCCTTCCACCAAGCTGGTACAAGGTGTTTGACCCTTCCTGGTGAGCCTGGGGACCTGGGGCGGGGAGCTGACTTCTGACTTTGCCCTTCCTGTGTTGTTCCTAGCCATGGGGTATGGGGACACAGGAGGAGAGATCTGGGGGTCCTCCCTGTGGGGTACTGACATGGGGCAAGTATAGGCAGAGACTGCGGAGACGAGTTGCGGACACAAGGAGAGGACATATGTGCTGACACTCCTTCCCTCCCACTGCCCCACAGTGGGCTCCCTTACTACTGGAATGTAGACACAGACGTCGTGTCCTGGCTCTCCCCACATGACCCCAACTCCGTCGTTACCAAATCTGCCAAGAAGCTCAGGACCAGTAATGCAGGTGAGTTGGCAGATCCACGGGTGCCTCAAGGGATTCTAGCAGTTCTCAGAGAGGGGCCAAGTAAGTTACAGTGGATCGAGGAGGGGCAGGTGAGACCAGGCAGGCCCAGCCCTAGGCAAAGAAGGTTGTTGAAGGCAGAGGCTGCTGGGTCCTGGGGTGGGAGGAGAAGGTCACTTCAAGACTTTCGTGTCCCCAGATGCTGAGGAGAAGTTGGACCGAGGCCATGAGAAATCGGACCGGGGCCATGACAAGTCTGACCGGGGCCATGACAAGTCTGACAGAGATCGAGAGCGTGGCTATGACAAGATGGACAGAGAGAGAGAGCGGGACAGGGAACGGGATCGGGACCGTGGGTATGACAAGGCAGACCGAGAAGAGGGCAAAGAACGACGCCACCATCGACGGGAGGAGCTGGCTCCCTACCCCAAGAGCAAGAAGGGTAAGCCAGGCAAGTGCCAGGGCGTACAGTGTAAGGAAGCCCTCCCTGGGGCATGTGCCTGGGTTGGGAGAAGGGTGCTGCAGTCCATTGCTACGCAGGCTCCATTTCTTCCTGGGATGGGCCAGTGGTCAGGGGCTCCTTGTGCCTCCATTGAAGACCTCACCCTGCCGCCTATTTCCATAGTGGCAAGCCGAAAGGATGAAGAGTTAGACCCCATGGATCCCAGCTCATACTCCGATGCGCCCCGGTAAGTGACAAGCCCTCGTGAGCCCTTCTTTTTCCTTATGATGCTCACTCTGCTGGTGAACGCCATCCCTCTCCTCTTCACTGTCTCATTTCCCCATTCCCATCCCCTGACTCTCTACTCTCTGTCACACCCAGGGGCACATGGTCAACAGGACTCCCCAAGCGGAATGAGGCCAAAACGGGGGCTGACACAACAGCAGCTGGGCCCCTCTTCCAGCAGCGTCCATACCCGTCCCCAGGGGCTGTGCTCCGGGCCAATGCCGAGGCCTCCCGAACCAAGCAGCAAGACTGAACCTTCGCTCTCCCAAGTACCCCAAGGGTTTTTAATAAAAGGCTTTCTGTGTATCATGTCCATGGGGACTCCGTGCTTCCTTCACTCGCTCTTTCGAGGCTTCCCAACCCAAGCCAGCAAGATGCAAAACATATTTTATTTGTAAAAACTCACCTAAGAAATAGCATGGGGTGGCAGGGGCTGAGGGCTAAGGTGGTTCTTTACCAGAGAGAGCTTACTCGTGTCAGACCTGCATGGGGGTGGAGGTGGTGGGGAGTTCAGTGTCTACCTCACCCTACCCCTAATACTGATTAGTTTGGTCCCAGCTGGGCCAGGGCAAGAAGGGAGAACGAGGCCAGGGCAACGTCTTCAATCCCAGCAGCTAGGAACCCTTCACCTTGGTGAGCAACCTGTGGTGGGAATGGAGAGGAAAGAAAAACACAGAAAGCTGGGCTGGCAGGCAGGTTTCCTGAGCAAGCGAGGCGGCAGTAATGAGGCTGGTAGTCCTGGGGTTAGTAATAGTGCCTATGCATAGAGAGCAGGTGCCCGGGGTCAGAAAGCTACACGTGGACTAAATAAATACAACATCTTTATTTGGCATTGAGTATCCTGACATTTGTTCTTTACAGTTCCTTAGAAAACAAACCAAAAAAATCATAACAAATTAATCAAAAATAAAGACCCAATGGCCCTATTTACATATAGCACAGCCCAGGCGCGCACACACACACACACAGGGATACAGTTAAGGGGTTAATAAGCTTTGGGGAGTGCAGGGGGCAGGTTCCACATTTCACCAATTCTAAGACACACCCCCTCCCCCACACAAGAAGTAAGGGTTTCTCATACAGCCAATGGGGTATCAAGAGTGTGATTGGCAGCTTTATTTTTCCTTTCTATATGTCTTGGAAAATAAACCTGCATCTGGTAACTGATAGTGCCTTAATTCAATGAGATTCAGCCACTTCAAAGATCTCCCCTCCCCACTTTTCCCACACCCTGGATCATTAATGATCTGATTACACCATGAATCCCCAAACCACTAAACAAATGGCCCCTACTGCACCCTTCCCCCAGACAGGCTGATGTAAAAATTTCAGCTCTCGCCCCTTCCTCTCTCCTTGGGCACTTGCAAGAGGCCCATCTTCAAGAGTCTTGGTGTCAGGGAAGCTGCCCTAACACCACACAGAAGATTGAACTGCTACCATGACCCAGTGTACCGTGAGGGAGGAGAGAATGCCTCAAACTATGGGCAACTGAACCCCACAGTAGGCATCCATCATCACTGAAGAGCTGCAGGATTTTTGTCCAGTTTGTCCTTATGAAGGTGGAGGGACTGCTGGAAGGGACTCTCCCAGACAGGAGAGACAAGACAACTCCAGCAGGGGAGTGGAGGTGGGGGCAGACAAAAAAAGGTCTTGAATAACAATACCCCCAACCCTGACCCCAAAGAGATTAGATTGGGGCACAGCAGGCAGCTCTAAAACCCCCCCAGGAAGGGTTCACGTGACACCTGGCCTGATTCCCATGCCCTTCCAGCAGTCTCAATGACCCAGGAGAAAAGACCATCTTCCAACCCCAGAGGAGCCAGGCCCCAGCGGCAACTTGGGTTCTGCTGATGCCCAACACCCTCCACCCCAGTCCCCCTCCCCGTCTCCCCCACTGCCACCAGCCCTCACTTCACCAGCACTGACTTTGGCAGAAAGGGCTCCGTGACCAGGTCTCTGTGATGGGAAGACAGCTGAGGTGGAGGTGGCTGCCCTGCAGGCTGCTGGTGAATGCAGGGCCCGGAGGCGGAGGCAGAGGAAGAAGCTATGGCTTTGGCTGCACCTCGGGGAAGGCTGTAGAGGTAGACGGCAGCAATGACGAGCCCAGCACCAAGGGCAAATAATGGGTCCACGTGGAAGCCAAAGAGGCGAATGGAGGCAACAGTGGACAGCACAATGGACAGGGAGGTGGCGAAGCCCTTGAGGATGTTGTCGGCGTACTTGACAACGACAGCCACTAGTAGCCCACCAAAGGCCTGGTTGAGCACTACACCCCAGACAGCAGGAGTGTACCCAAAAAAAAAGCCACGGTGGGCCACAGCAGAGCCCTCAGCCCACCAGAGCCCCACCAGGCCCAGTGCTGTGCCAAAGAGGCCCAGCTGCAGGTTGCGTAGCCACACGGAGCCCGAGCTGCCTTTGAGGATCTTCTCAAAGTAGACACCTGCGAAGCCTGAGGAGAGACAGGAGGCCACAACAGCTGCTAGGCCTGCTCCGGGGTTCTGGTCCAGGGGCCGTGGGCCTCCCCCACCGGCTTGCTGGGCCTGGACAATTGCGACGCCAGTGAAGAGGAGCAGCAGGGAGGCCCACTGCAGCCGGGAAAGGCTGCGGTTCAGCATGAGCACGGAGAACAGTGCTGTGGTCAGGATCTTCAGCTGGTACGTCACCTGTGAGTGGCATGTGGAAGGCACTGAGGGCTGACCCCAACCCCCAACAGGTGCATGTGGGGGACAGCACCCACTGTGGGCCCCCAGGCACCATGGAGGGACAGGTTGGGTAGATGACAATAACAACCACAAAACTGGCCAGCCACTGGCCATTGGCTGAGTTGCAGCTAACTAGTTCTGAGGTCCCTCTCAGAAAGTGCACAGAAGGATGGCTGTGCCAGGACATCTCAGCCCACATCCAAGTCCACATCCCAATCCCACTTCCTGGCTGTGTGAACAGGGACAAGGCACTTGCTCTGAGTCCTGCCATCATCATCTGTAAAATACTGCTACTGTACGTAAAATGCCTTGCAGTAGATAATGAATAATCGGTAGGCTTTGTGATGAGGCAGGTATTCATACAGATGAATCAACCACAACAACAATGTCGGCAAATATTTATATCGAGCTTACTATGTGCCATATGTTCTGGTATGGGTCTAGGTACTTTACCTGAATTAGTTCATTTAATCCTCACAACCATCACATGAAATGGGCACCATCGTAATACCCAATTTAAAAATGAGAAAACTGGGCCAGCCCGGTGGCGCACTGCTACAGTGCACCGCTTGGGAGTGCGGTGGCGCTCCCACCGAGGGTTCGGATCCCACATACAGACCGGTTCCCGCTCACTGGCTACTGCTACAGTGCACCGCTTGGGAGTGCGGTGGCGCTCCCACCGAGGGTTCGGATCCCACATACAGACCGGTTCCCGCTCACTGGCTGAGCGAGGTGCGGGCGCGACACCGAGGGTTGCGATCCATTGCCGGACACGAAAAAAGACAAAAAGGAAAAAAAAAAAAAAAAAAAGAGAAAACTAAGGAACAGAGAAGTTAGGTGACTTGCCTCAAAATCACACAGCTGGAAAGTAACAGAGCTGAGATTTGAACGACGCAGCCTGGCCCCAGAATCCAGGCTCTTTAACCATTTCACAAGGCTGCCCATGAATAACCTAAAGTTTATGTATCTCCAACCAAGGGCTCCTCACAGATTTTATTTCTTTCAATCATCCCAGCATCCCAGCAGGCAGGTATTACTGTCTCCATGCCCAGTTTTCACAGATGAGAAAACCGAGGTTGAGGAAGTTCCAAGGACATTCCAAAGGTGACAGCCCCTGCTCTCTCCAGCTCTCCCCCCATCCTAAATCCCCTAACCAGCCAGTTCCCCTGGGGCCACGATGGGCTTGGTGCTCACCTGAAAAGTGGCAGCTGGCAGGTTGGAGATGGCAACATACTGGAGGTTATTCTGCAAGGTATAAATGAGAGAGGGCACTGCAAGCTTGAGCGTGTCTACATACTGCACCAGGACAGCCTCATGGAGGAAGAGAACCAGGTGCTTCACGTTACCTAGGTGGGAGGAGGAGAGCCCTTTTTAGCACTGACTACCAAAGACAGGAGTCCCCTGAAGGCTGGGACTAGGCCTGGTCCTGTCTCCCTGGGGGTGGAAAGGAGGTCTGTGCTCTCAGTTTTCCCTACAGTGCAACCATGTCTCTAGTAGGCCTTTCTGATATTCAGTTTAATGGCTGCAAAAGAATCATCCATAACACTGTGTCTGCTAATCACAGACCACATTTCACTCATCTTAGAGCTTACCTCCCTGGCACAGAGTGCCATTCAAGGCACGCACTCAATGCATGTTTGTACAATGAAATAATCATCATTAACTAGATGCTTATGAAGTAGAAGCCCTAGGAGTGTAGGTGGAAGGCTGTCTCCCACACAGAGGGGAAGTTTTAGCTCAGACTTTTAGACTTATCCTAGCTCCTTACTGGCCTGTGAGCCGCCTAAGGGCAGGGGCCGTCTCCCACTCAACCGCATCTTTCTGTCAGCCCTGGACATAGCAAGGAGTTGCCTCTGCCACATGGATGAAGGCAGGCTTGGCTGTGAAGCAGAAGACCAGTTGAGATCTGCCCCAATGAATACATGAGAATCATTTCCTATGCCATAAGGCCTTTGAAAAGCTCACCCCACTTTTTTGCCATTCATCTTTTAAGTCTTAGCTGAATGTCACTCCTCAGAGAAAATCCCCACAACTACTACACAAGTTATCCCAGGAATTACTGCTGATGCTTACTTACAAAACTCTGTCCTTGTCCTTCATGGCACTAATCTCAGGAGTAATTACTGTTTCTAACCTCTTAATTTTCCAGGTGTTAGAAAGGTAACATGGTTTATATGCCACAGATTACATAACAAACCCCACATAGATGGAGCTGCCTACCATAATCAAGCATATTCCTATTTCTGAGGTGAATTGTGTGAATATTCACACCCAGTGGGAAAAATAAAAAACACAAATATACAAAGAGCCCCACATCAGTCAGGCCAGGTTTTACCACCAAACTAATTCAGGGAAAAAATGGGGGGTGGGGAGTGGAGAGGGGAAGGGGTTTGAAGTTATAGATAAGAGATGAAGGCCTGTGATTAAGTCTACAGCTGCCTGCTACTTCCTGTCTCAAATAGCAGCCCTATGAGGGCAAGATGTATGTCTGCGTTGCTAGCACACAGGTTCACTCCTAAATGTCTACAGAATCAATAAAGAAAAGAGCAGATGGGTTCCTAAACGGCTGCCTTCCAGGGACCTGGAATTAATGAGTGAGTAAGAACATTTTCTTCGATGTAAATACCTAGGGCAAAGCTGCATAATTCACCTCTACCCTTTACATATGCAAGGCCTTTACAGAGAAAAACTGGGCAATATTTCAAAGTTGAAAGCCTGAATTCAGTTAGATGTTTAAATTAGTAGATAAACCCAACTCCCAACTTTTAGGAAATACAGAGGACAGAAGAACATGTTAAATGACACCACAGAGAGGCAGTCAGCAACACCTAGACTGGCCAAAGTCTACAACACAAATGACCTTAATTTCTTCAACAAACTAATTGCAAAGAGAAAAAAAAAAAGTTAAAGGGGAACCTAGAGATAAACAGATTTAGAAGACATCAACCAATTACAAAACACTGACCATACACAATTTTTAAAAAAATTTTTTATGACATTTAAGAAATCATTATATCAGATCCCGCCATACAAACCTGTTGCCAAAAAAAAAAAAAGAAAAATCATTATAAAATTATAAATTTGAATGCTAACTAGATATTTGTTTTAATTTTTGAATCGTTAATTTTTTGATGTATGATTCTTAGGTATTGTACTTGTTTTTTAAAAATGTAACAAAAATATTTATTCAAGATAATACGGGGGGATTTACTTTAAAATATTAAGAGGGGAAGTACACAGGCAAACACAGATTGGCAGTGCGCAGACAATCATCAATGATGTTTAATGGCAGAGTGGCCATGAGTTGATAATTGCTGAATCTGGGGGATGGGTACATGGATATTTTACTCTTTTATTATTCTCTCCAATTTTGTGTATGTTTGAAATTCTCCACAATAAATAGTTAAAGAAAAATAAATAAATCACCATGTAAGAGTCCCCTGCTACCTTATGGGCATAGACTATCCCACTCTTACAGTTCACACAGGCCAACTCCTCGGGTGTCAGGGGTACAAAAGTGTAGATCCAGCTTCTCATAGCTGGAGGGAGAGAGAAGCTTAGCTGCACTTACATACTCCCCAGGCAGGCTCACAGACACAGAGAAATTCCCCCAGCAAATCCTCCATGTGAGTACACACACATGCGGAGTCCCATCTGCCAACACTCCCTGTGCAGCCTCCCTCCCTGGCTCATACCCCTCTTCTGTGCGAACAGCAGCAGCAGGCAGGTGAGACCTTTGAGCACTTCCGCCATGACCACAGCAGTGGTGGCAAAGAAGCGGTCCCCAGGCAGTGTGCGGGCGTAGCGGATGCTGAGGATGAGGGAGGCATTCTGGACCACCAACACAGCTAGGGATATGTACTTGAGGCGCCGGTGAGCTGTGGGGAATGGAAAGGGCAAGGCGGAAGGAGGGGGTCAGAAGCTGCTGGGGCACAGACACACTAACACCCACCCTTTCCCCTTTCTCAATCAGGATCCTCCTAGCCACTGCCACATCTTCCCTCTGCCTGCCTGTCCTGACCCAATGAGGGTCCAGCCCCTACCTGCTTCCACTGCCTCAGATACTGGCAGGAAGAGCCAGAAAAGAAGTGTGCCTCGCCCTGTCCAGCTCATACCTGGAATCCTTCCTGAGGTGTCAGGAAATGGCTAGGGCAGGCTCTGGACACTCACCTCAGCTCCAGAAGCAACTCTTCCCCAGACAGAATACCAACTACACTTTGAGTGCTTATTGCGTGCCTATCACTGGGCTAATGGATTTATATGGATTACCTCAATGGACTCATATCACTCTGATCTCTGAAGGAACTAGGATTCCATTTTATGGGTGAGCAAACTGAGGAATTATATGAAATGATGCTCCTATGTAACAAGGGACTGTCCCATGTAAAGATTAATACCCCAATAAGGGAATGAGACCATTGTATAAGGTATGTCCAACCCCTAAGGAATGATCTTTCTCCCATCTAATGACTCAATTCCCTCATACTCACAACGGTCTACATCCCATATGGAATGATCCTCCCCACACTCAAAATGGTCTCTCCAACCCTCCTTCTTATGACAACTGATTCCTCCTGACCCAGAATGGTCTAACAAATACAAGAAATGATTCCCCCATTGTCCCAGAGACTAAACCCCATATAATGAGTGGTTACCCCATCAAGAATGGTCTGGTTCCCTCAACCATATAAGGAAGTATTTCCCTATACTCCACATGGTCCGTCCTCCACCACCGCCCTCCCCCCCATTATTCCTTGTTCCACCCACATTCACAAGAACTCTCTGCTATAAGGAAGGATCCGGCACCCTCAAAAACGTTCTTTCTCCACCATGCAAGGTCAGACCTTCCCACCTCAACATACAATGAACTGTTCCTCCATTAGGAAGAGACCCCGCGCCCGAACGGTCTTCTCCCCATATAATGGATATCTCCATCCTCAAAATGGACCCTTTCTGGTCATATAAGGAAGGACCACCCCACCCTAACTCAAAATAGTCCCTGTTATATTAAGGAAGGAATCACCACCCTCAGAATAGTCTCTCCCCCTATAAGAAAGAACTCCCACACCCTCAGGATGGTCTCTCCCTTACATAAGGAATGGCCCCCCACACACTCAGAATGGTCTCGGTGGTCATAGCCTCCCCAAAAGGAAATACTACACACGCAGAATAGTCTCTACTCTCCATACTCCCCAAACACCCTCAGAATGATCTCTTCCCTGCCCCCAACACACTGACATGAAACGGAGGGAAGGAGGTCCGTTTCGTCGTCCTCTCCCCTCCACACACACACGAGTCGGCCCACACGGGATGCTCCCTCTCACTTCAGTGAGGAACCTTCCCGAACCCCAGCAACCCCGGTCTCCGCACCACCGCCGACTGCTCGGCCACGGCCCGCCTCACCCGCACTCGCGGCCCCAGGGTCCAACGCCCCCGCGGAGACCGCCCCTTGCCCTGCCGCCGCGGTGGAACCTCCAGCTCCAACCGCTGCCATGTTGGCATCTGCCCGGCCAGGCCCCTCGGTAACAGCAGCCCACTTCCGTGTCCGTCACTTCCGCTTCCGGGACTCCGGGGTGGGGGCGGGGCACGTGCCGGGCTGACCAGAGCTGTGGCTTTTCTCTTCTACACTTAGAGGCTCAATCTTAAGATAATGTCTTCGGGATTTCCAAGTTCTGTCGGACCGGGAGACGGGGGACGCGGTCAACCCGGCCTCCCACCGTCTGTGCAGAGCCTCATCGGACCATTCCTGTTACTAGACCCGCCTTCGTCTTTCCGTTCGTCCGCCTCATTGACCCCGCTTTCTATATCACCCGCCCATTCTGTCTCCCGGTCTCATTGGTTCGTCTACCCCTCTTCCATCTCAGCTCTTTATTGGCACCTTCTTAAGTTAAGATGGCACCGCCCTTTCTGCATCAGAAACTTCTAGGTTCTTCTTGGTTGGACTTAAGTTCTTCTTTGTCCTCTGCCAGCGAGGCCTCGGCCCCTGGAGAGCCCACGGGCATCTAGGCGGGACGGGAGACTTCGAAGGGGCGGGGCAGGTGAGGGGTACTGGGTGAAGCAGCACGTGGGGACGGGTGAGGGTCAGGCAAGTAAGCCAGCAGAGAAAAGCCGCCAAGGATATACAAGTGAAAAGGCAAAGTTAAGTTAGACTGAGAGAAGGGAGACCAACTGAGTCACCATTGAGGATAGAAAAGAAATGAGAAGGGGCAGGTGTGAGGCTCACAGGTTAGCTAGCATTTGAAAACAGCATGAGAGGGGACAAGTGAAACCAAGACAGAATAGGGCAGGGCAGGTAAGTCAAGAGTTGGAGAGATGAGAGGGATGAGCATCAAAGGGGAAGACAAGGGAGAGGTTAAAAGGTAAGGGACAAGACACCCTGGACATAATTAAAAAATGAGAACACCAAGGCCCAGGGTTCAATCTCTGTACCGGCCAGCCGCCAAAAGCAAAACAACAAAAAACTAGGAAGATTCCAGTCAACACTCAACTCTGCCCCACCCCCATCAGTGCCCTGAAAGGGCTTTTCTTCAACAGGAAAGGGATTTCTTCCCTCCCCTAATGTTGGGGGAAGGTAGTTTTTTTCTGCCTTTGAGTTGGCCATTTTTGATTGGGGATGTGTCCTAAACATCTTCAATGTCTACGATATATCCAACAGAACCCTTCTGTACATACCAGGCTCTACATAAGAGCTGGGGCAGGGGGGTGGGGGGTGGGGTGGAAGGAAGAATCAACAGTTTTTTGTGTGGTCCAGCGTAAATGAATCCATTAAAGCTCTTAAGGATGCCGCCGTAAGACTGAGGCTTCCTGTGGGCAAAGGAGAGGTCCAGCCCATCTCCCTCTTGGCACAAATGCCTCGCATCTACAAATGGCTAGTCGCTTCTGATTCTATTACTTTTATTAAATGGTAGGTTTCCACACATGGCTTTTTAAATAATCCAAGCGGGTGGAGAAAGGAAAGGAGGGCACACTTGGCATTCCCTTCCTCCCAATACATATCTAATTACATTTTAGCAATTGGACAATTTTGGCTCAGGAGGAGGCAGCAAGAATCTGCAAAAGTTGGAGAGGGGGGGGCCCCAGGAGAACAAACAGCAAAACTTATTTCCCCCAGCCCATTCCCCCAAAAACCATCCATCCCATCCTAAGTCTCTGGTGGTGGCCGGTGGTGTCCATCTTCCATTCCTTCCCAAATCATGGAAATAAGGTTCTTCTCACCAGAATAAGAGCACTTGGGATTACAGAGTAGGGTCCCCTCACCAAAAAAAAAAAAAAAAAAAGAGCCCTGGGATAACAATAGGGCACTACCTCCTCAGAATAAGCAATCCTGGGCTGAGGTAGGCAAGCAGCTTAACCGAATATGGGACCCTAGGCTAGGGGAAAGCGTCCCTTCGCTAACATAAGAGCTGCTGGGGTACTGGAAGAAAAGCACCCTTGCCCAAGTAAGAGCATTTAAACTAAGTGTGTGTGGTGGTAGTAGGAGGTGCCAGTGTAAGTGTGTGTGGTGGTAGTAGGAGGTGCCAGTGTAAGTGTGTGTGGTGGTAGTAGGAGGTGCCAGTGTAGGGGTTACAAGTGATCAGAATAAAGGTCCTGGGGCTCAAAATCTAAGTAACTTTAACCAAACAAACACCATTAACAAAATGAGAAACAAGGAAGTCCCCCCTCCAGAATAAGGGACCACAGGTTCTAGGAGGAAGGCTCCTTCACAAGATTGGGACGGGGACTGGGCAGACTTGGCTTATGTCTTCTGACCCCTCATCCCTAATCCCTGACCTTAGTAATACTGGATTTTTAATAACCTGTAAAACCAGGTCAACAGACGTCCATCTAACCTTGTGGCATGGCCATGGGATGGCTATTCTGACCAGTGGGGGCCTGGCCAGGCCTAGGGGAGCAGGGACCAGGCCAACGGGGTGGGGCCTCCTTTGGGGGGGTTGGGGGGCTCATCCTTGGCTGGTGTTTGCATCCAGGGGTCCAGCAGGATCTCCTCCAGTGAGGGTCGGGAAGAGGGTTTGGAGGCCAGGCACCGGCGGATTAGGGCACAGCAGTCTGTGGGTCAAGAAGCACAAGGGAGATTAGCAGTCAGTAGTAGGTACCAGTCTCTGGGAGGGATGGAGTCTGCAGGCTGGGGTCTGTGAAGGCCTCACCTGGGGAGACATGGGCAGGAAAGTGGAGCTCAGCCTCCAGAATCTCCTGGTCCCTCTCGAAGGGAATGTCCCCACACACCATGTCATAGAGGAGGATACCCAGTGACCAGACAGTGGCTGGGAGAGCATGGTACTGGTGCTGAGAGATCCACTCCGGGGGGCTGTACACCCTTGTCCCTGCATGCAAGCCAGGGGTTAGACCACTCTCTGATGATGCCCTTCTCCCACCCCACACTCCCCAGGAAGCATAATCCCCTCACCATAATTAAGAGCACTGATTATAAGAGCAGGGTCCCTTCACTAGAACAGTTGCTCTTTAAATATAATAGCAGAGTCCCCTCAACAGAAAGAAAGCACTTAAAAGTAACAGTAGGATTCCCTTACCAGAAAAAGAACACTCAGGATAATAAGAGAATCCCCTTAAAAGAATAAGAACCCAGAACAAAGTTAGAGCACTATCAGAAGATGGACTTTATCATAGGGCAAGGCCAGAGAATCCCCAGTTTATTAGAAATCAAGAACCTTAAATGGGCAATATAAGTCAAGGGTTATAGGACACCCCACCACTGGAGGTCAAAGGTCATAGGGCCATAAAGATAAAAGGTAAAGGGAAGCCTTACCATCAAAGTCAGTGTAAGGTTCATCATGAAGCAGGGCACCTGAACCAAAATCAATGAGTTTGGCACAGCCCCGGCAGAGGTCTATCAGGATGTTCTCATCCTTGATGTCACGATGGACAACTCCACGGGCATGGCAGTGCTGGACAGCTGCCACCACCTGGGCAAATAAGCAGCGGCTTTGGTCTTCACCCAGCGGGCCCTTCTCTGTGATGTAGTCAAAGAGATCCTGGGCAGGCAAAGGCCTCTCAAGAACCAGCATGAAGCCCTCTGGTGTCTCAAACCAGTCAAGCAGGCGGATTACACCACGGTGCCCACCACCGGCACCCACCTTCCATAGCAGTGCCACTTCGAGTGGGCACATGACTGAATCTGACTGGGGGTGAAAGTGGGGTGGAAAGCAAGGAGAGAAAAAGAGAAGGCAGACGTCAGGCCAGCGGCTCTGATGCCAACTTCTCACCTAAGCTCAAATCATAGTCCCTTGGCCTCCCAACTCTGTGGCCTTGAGCAACCCACTTCCCTTCCTGGGCCTCAGTTTCCTTGTCTTAAGAGCTCAAACTCACACAGCCACTGGGAGGGTGAACAGAACAAAGAGCCTACACACATCTGGCATGTAGTAGGAGCTCAGTAAATATTTGAATGAATGAAAATGGTTCTTAACGAGAGGCCTTCAAAAGAAGAAGCACTATCATATAACACAGTTGTCCCTGGGTATCCATGGGGGATGGGTTCCAGGACCTCCTGTGGATACCAAAATCTGCAGATGCTCAAACCCTTGATGTAAAATGGCACAGTCATATAACCTATGCACATTTTCCTGTATATTTTACATCATGTTAAGATTACTTATAATACCTAATACAATGTAAATGTTATGTAAATACTTGTTATACTATATTGTTTAGGGAATCAGGACAAGAAAAAAAGGTCTATTCATGTTCAGTACAGACACAATTTAAAAAAATTTTCGATCCACAGTTAGTTGAATCCATGGATGCAGAATCCATGGATATGGAGGGCCGACTGTATTTCATCTGTTTTGTTCACTGTTATGTCTAAATCTAGATTAGAATAGTACTTTTCACACTGTAGATGCTCAATAAATGTTTGTTAAACAAACGAAAGCACTTTATAGCACAAGGCCTGATATGGAGTTGGCACTCAATAAATACTATTATTGTGTAATGGTTTTTCTGTTTTGTTCACTGACATATCTATAGCACTAGAACAGTGCCTGGTAACAGGGTAGGGCTCAATAAATATTTGTTAAATAGGTGAAAGCAATTAGTAGAAAAGGACTGAGCACAAAATGAGCTCTCAGTAAATATTACGGAATATTTTGCCAAGTGCCTAGAATTGTGCCTGGCATATAGTAGATGCTCATTTGTAAAGTGATTAATAAAATTTACCCTCTAGAAATGTTAAAAAAAAAAAAAAGATGAAAGTGATTAGTTGCAAAGGACCGGGCACAAAGTAAGAACTGTGTTATCATGTGATATTTTGTCACTGTCACCAAGCAACTAGGATCGCTTAATAAAAGGCAAAAACGTTACTGGCGACAAAAACCCCACCGTCCCCCGTAAGCCTTGTGCTGGCACACTGACCGCCACAAGCAGCCTTCCTGCCTAAAGAGCCCTCTCCTGGCCAGGCCGCTGACTCGCACAGCCGCAGACAGGTTTTCTCATAGTGATGCAAATTCTACTAACGCGCAGGCGCACCCTCTCGGCGGCCCACGGCCTGCGCAGGCGCAGTCTCCCAAGAGCCGCCAGGGGGCGCTCCAGCCTCTACAGCTTGCTCAGACCCGCCCTGATGCCCGTTAGCACTCTAAAGGCAGGAGAGAAACAGCCACCATCACCATAGCAACCAGTGACCTCTGCCCCTCTCTCCACACCAGTATGCAAGCACTGTTTGGAAGGAGGATAAGAAAGGAGAGTTGGAGGGGAGAATCCACGAGTCCACGGTTCTAAGGGAATTGCGGTGAATCAGAACTGTAGGTCACCCCAAGGGAGTAAACATGGGCTGGTAGGAGTGTTCTCACCGTTACAGGGCCCAGAGAGTCATACATATATGCCCTAGAAAAAGCAAGAGAGTGAGTTCATCGTCAGTGATTGAGTAGACAGGTCAGGAAGGATTCCAAAGATACTCACCAAGGGAGACCAGCCCAGCACACGATTCCGGGGGACCACTTTGATGGCCACCTGGTGAAGAGGGCCAAGTAAGGGGGCCAGCAGGTGACTCCTAGACCATTCCCAGTCTAGGCCCTTTGCCCACCTCCAGTGCCCCTCCATCGACCGTGGCACCCTAGTCTTTCGGGTCCCCGACCACACCGCACCACAACTCATAATGAGCCAGGGCTTCTCCCCTACCCTCCAAGTCCCCAGAACCAAGTTCATTTCTCCCACCAACCTTAGCCCTGGGCTCTCCCTTCCCAGGCATCAGGAACCCTCATTCCAGGTCCTGAGCTCTAAATTACCTGACATCCCAAGCCCTTCATCTTCCCATCCAGCTCCAGGATACCCCAACTCTGTACCGGGGTCCTGGTCCTCACAACTCCACACTAGCCACCTACCTCCCAAATCCCCCAAATCTCACATCTAGGTCCCCACCTTACCACACATACACACATCCCCTGGATCCTGGGGATCTAGAGTCCTCATAACCCCCAATCCCCAGTCTAACTCCCTGGACTTCCAGAATCCCTGCCCTGAATCCCACATACCCACCTGGGCCGACACACACACACACTGGGACACCCCCAGCAACCTGAATCCTGGTCCTCATGACCCTACTACACATACTGCAGGCTCACTCCCCGGTCAATCAGCATCTCAGACCCAGGACCCCCGCGCCCAACCCCGTCACACACACCTGACCCTCCCAGGACCCTCGTGGTGGATACCTGGAGTCGGTCTGTGACGCGGTGTCCCGCGAAGACAGTACCAAAGCCCCCCTTACCCAGGAGGGGGCCGAGTTGGTACTCGGCCTCGAATGCTTCTCGATCCTTGCCTCCTACGCAGGCGGAGGCGAGGAAGTCAGGGTGGCGGCTTAGTGAGCCCGGCCGCGACTCCCTCCCTCGCGCCGCCACCCACCATTCCAGTCCATCCCGCCTGTTCGCGGTAGGGGAGGTTGCGCTCACCTGGGGGCGGCGTGGGGGTGACCGGGGGCGCTGGGAGCCCCTGAAGAGGCTTGGTCAACATGGAGGAGGTGCTGCGCAGATTGAGCCCGCTGAATCCGCTGAGTCCGCTGAGCCCGCAGGGCTTAGATGCCCGGGGCAGCGCGGCCGGAGAGCCAGGGCTGGGGGGCGCCAGGGTGAAAGGCAGAGTAACTGGTTGCCCGGAAGCACCCGCAGACAGAGGAGTGTTAAGATTCGCCGCGCGCGCCAGCCCCAACGCTACTGAGCCGGGGCACGCGCCTCCCGGGAGAGTCGCCCTGGGCGATAGCCCCGCCCACCTGGCTTTGATCAATCCGGATGCGGCACCTGCTGTATCCCAGCCAATCGGAGCCAGTCCTTATTTGCATACCACCCTCAACGTTTCAAGTGCCCCTTATGCAAATATACGACCGGTTCTTCCACGGAGGCGGAGCTGCATGCAAATTAAGGGGCGCGAGGTGGGGCGCACAAGAGGAAACCGGTTCTGGGAATCCCTTTGCGGCGACCGTGTTTGTTTTGGTTGTCGCGCGGGGTTTTTAGTGGTGGTGGTGGGGTGTGTTTGTATGTACACTTAAAAAAACTGCGCAGTCTCTTTCCCTAGGAAGTTGGGTGCCGCCTCTGCTGCCCCCTCTGCTGCCCCCTCGAGATTAACGCGGAGATAAGGCCAGGCCGGGTTTCTAAGAATCCGAGCCTGTGGCAATCCAGGATCTTGTGAAGAGTGTTGCTCACCCAGGACCAGAATCCTCCAGGCGACCAGCTACCTTCACCCCGAAACTGAAGCTGGGGCCCTGGGAAAGCCTGTTCAGTCGCCAGGGAAGGGTGACCCTCTGACCACCGCCACAGGGGACATGTTGGTCAAAGGCAGCGTTCCTACACTCGGAGGCGGCCTGCAGGGTGTTTTTGGAGCCCTTAACCTAGACAGACCTGGTTTGACTAAGCCGTGGGCCCAGTCAGCAGGTCTAGAATCTAGAACTGCAAGGGGTGGTTCCTCGGGGGGAAGGGGATAAGGGAATAAGGGGAGCCATAGTGGGGCTGCTCAGGTAAGAGTGAGCGTGGTAGAGGCTGCTAAAGAAGTGGTAAAACACCTTCAGACAGGGCCGGCCCTGTGGCGCACTCGGGAGAGTGCAGCGCTTGGGTACGCAGCAGCGCTCCTGCGGCGGGTTCGGGTCCTATATATGGATGGCCGGCTCGCTCACTGGCTGAGCGTGGTGCGGGCGACACCAATCCAAGGGTTGCAATCCCCTTACCGGTCACGAAAAAGACAAAAAAAAAAAAAAAAAAACCTTCAGACAAAAACCTGTGAAAAATAGCCAGAGAAGGCCCCATGCCCCAGGCAGACAGACATGCACTCCAAGGACACACAGACACATCATGAGAAATACACACAAATTCATGTAAGCTTGTCCTTGGTACACATGCAGACATGCACCATCACACGGATTGACAGTGTCAGAAAAAGTCCCAGAACAACACCCAGAGATACACTATTACAGACACTCCAGAGACTCTTATGGACCTATATCGCCATATGATGACACAGAAACATCCTGTCAGACACACTGATAGCACTTGTCATAGATACACTGGCACCATCAGACACGCACTATCACAGAAAGACTTGTACTGCCCCAGAAATGAGAGGCCCAGAGTCTGTCACAGGAAGACACACAGATGTTCCAAAGGCACACATTCACTGCTTCAAAGGCAAGTGTACTGGTATGGTAGAGACATACAGTGTCAGAAAAACAGACATGAATAGACCTGGTCACAGACACACATACACCATCAGACATGCAGCCTTGTCACTAAGACAAACTGTCCAGAAATAGCTACCCAGAATCTGTCACAGGAATACAAACGGTCATCCACCCCATCAGATAGAAACCACAGATGCACTGTCACAGAGACCCACGCAGACATGCACTTGTCTCAGATACAGACACCAACTGTCAAGAGTCCCACACTCAGTCACCATCTGACACACCTGGAAACAAGCTCTTGTCACACACACAACTGGAAACACCTTGTGAGATGCACATGAAGACTTGGACTTTCCAGTCACACACACCAACCACCACCCAAAATGCAAATACATGTATATTCTCCCTTATTCATCCAACGTTATTAGGGGTCAACTATTGAACTGCCAGGTCCTGGCAGGGATGCAGATATTAAACACACAGATAAGTCAGGCATCACAGCCCCTGCCCGGGAAGTTTATTTATAGTACAATTATTGGGGATATTTGTAGACAGAAGTTAGAATGTGAATGAGGTCACTCAGGGCTTCTCAGAAGATGACCTTTTACCTGTGTTAAAAGACAAATAAGGTTGGTGGCTCAGGACAGGGGAAGGGCAAATTGCAGGCAGAGGCTAAGGAAACCGAACAGAGCAGCAAGAGGAGGTAGACAGGGGCCAAATGGTGCAGAAACTTCCACAATAGGATAATTAATAATACCCGCTAACATTTGTGCTCTCACAATGTGCCAGGCACTCTGCCCAGTAATACATTATGTTGACCATATACATTCTCTCTCGATGCTCACAACCAGAGAGAGCATGAGGTAGTAGACATTAACCACCCCTGTTGTACATGGGACACCTGAAACCCAGAGAGGCTGTGACCTGACCAAGGCCACACAGCTAGAAGACACGAAAGGAGGGTTTCAAACCAATTCTCCAACATGCCATGCCTGACCACTGGATTCCAAAGATGCCCAGTAGACAGCCACTCAGCAGCCACGCCCTCATCTGCAGAGCCAGACACACATCTTTCCACAGGGACCCCACTATTGAGGCACAATGAAAAAGACACTTGAGAAAACCTGGAGGCCCGTCAGCCTTCTCTGCCTTGGCTTTACCCCTAGGAAGGTCAGGAACAGAGGTGTCACTGGACTGGGGGACATGAACAAAAAAGGATTAGCCATTCCTCAGCTTCTAAATCCAAGCAGGGGAGTTCCCTCTGTTTCTTCCACCAAACTCACTGCTGTCAGTTGTGCTTTTCCAAAGCATTTCCTCACCAGATCATCACAAGGAAAGAGCAAACATTTATGGTGAGAGGCAGGCAGAAAAGCTGGAATTCAGACAGGAAGTTCAGTTTCTGCCCTCAAGTTCACAGTCCTCTGTTCCCATCACACTCCCAGGAAATGGAATAGGCAGGGGCAGGCACAGCAGGCAAAAGTGGAGCTTTTTTGGTGGTAACTGGTCCAGAAGGAAATTTAATATGCAGCAAATCAAATATGAACTCCAGGCCCCCAGACAGACCCTACTGGAGAGCATTTGGACCTCAGAGGTCAAGCCAAGGCCGGTGTTATTGCTTCTTCCGCACAGAGGCTTGCCCACCCCTGACCCACACAGAACAGAACTGCTCAGGGACACAGACATTTGGTTTTATTGTGCCAAGGACATTACAGATGGTAGAACTTGTTAACACCTGCAGGGCACGGGTGCCCCATCTGCGGAGGCTGCTCCCACTCCCTACACTCAAATCCTGGGTGGCGGCCATGATCCCCCAAAATTCCAGAGAGACTGGTGGTGGTGGTGGAAGCAAAAGGAATGCAGCAAGGTCAGGGTTTCATTGTCCAAAGCCCATCTGACACCTGCCACCCCCATCCCCTGCCCCAGTTCACACCCTCTGCCCACCTCCACGGGGATGGAGGCCAGAAGACAGCAACTCACATCTTTGTGCCCCCTCCATGCCCCATGGCCTGCCTGCCCCCAAACCAGAGGGATGCCGCCTTCACAGAGCCAATGCTGTCATCTACGTCATTTTTGATTGGTTGATTTCATGAGATAAAAGTACATTTTAATAAAGAAAAAAATCAAAATTGAAAGCTCAGATATTCTTGGGGTACTGGGAAGGGAAATTTCCCACTTTGTCCTCCCACCTCCCTGGCATCATTGTGGGGGGAGGCAGTGAAGTTTTTCTGATCTGGAAGGAATGGGGGGCAGGGAGACTTTCCTGTCTGAATGTCTCTCTCCTCTGGGGCTGCCTGGCTGCCGGTTGGTTTGTCTCTGTGTGCCTCTCGTCTACCTTCGGCACCCTTGCCCGAGTCCCCTGTGGAATGCAGGGATGGTGCTGAGCGGGGGGCAACAGGGCACATCAGCTGGTGGAGAGAAAGGTAGTGGTGGCAGCGATGAGAGGGAGTGCAGGGGTGGGCCAGCCAGAGGGAAGTGGGGAGAAGGGAAAAGAGGGGAGAAGGGAAGAAGGCAAGAGGGAAGAAAGACAAAGAAGGTGGGGTGGCACCAGAGGGCAGGAGTGGAGGGGTTAGGAGATGGCATCCAGTCCCTGGGTCTCCATCAACTCTTGTCTGGGGCTGGGTCTCTGTGCACTTTGTTTTTCTTCATACTGTCTAGGTATTCCTGTTGGGACACTGCCAGCACCGATGCTAGGATCTCATCATCATCCCAGTCATTCAGACCTGCTGGGCAAGAGGAAGAGGAAAAAGAAGACAAAGTGCTCTCAGCCTGCCTTCCCCTCACCCTTTGCTGATCCCTTGCTCTGGAGAAATCCCATCCAGGCCCCTCTCACTCCTTTCTCTAAGGAGGAGGTTTCCCCTACGTCTATGCAACCCACTGAGACCCCTTCTGGGACAAATCCCTTGGCCCTGAAAAATTCCCTCTAGCGCCTCACTTCTTTTCTTGGGGAGATAGCCAGAAGCTCCAGAAGCCCTGTCTTAGGACTTGCTGCTTCTTCCAGTCTCTCCCCATCTCCCAGCTGGCCCCTGTCCCCCTAACATAGGAGGCTTACCAAAGGCAGAGGGGGACATCTGCTGAATGAGAGCCCGGCACTCCAGAGCAGGGTAGAGGGACACGAGTGGGGAAGTAGCCCGGTCAGCCCCTGCCGAGAACTGACTGCTTGTACCTGGGGCAGATGGACAGTCAGAGGTAGGGCTCAGGGCCCAGGCAGTGCCTCCTAACCCCAGAAAGCTCCCCTGTGAACAAGTCACTGACCTGGAGCACAGGGCGAAGGAGGTTTGGCGAGAGCTAAGACAGTGCCTGGGGAAGGGGGCTTGATGCCCAGCTCAGCATGCAGCTCAGGGTGCTCAGGGGATGAGGCTGAACTCCGCTGCCGTGGGGACCGGCTGCTCCACTCCTCCAGGCCACTGGAGGCTGCTGCTGTGGCCGAACTGCATGTGGCACTGGCTTTCCGGGGCTGCGATGGAGAAGGAAAAAGCGGTAAGGAGCAATACCAGCCACAACCCTCCTGTGCCCCACCCGAATGCTTGCTTTCTTCCCAGGATCCTGGTGATGATACAGCTTCTACAAAGGTCACCGTCATTCCCACTCACACAGTGGACCACAGGGCTCCTCACAGGACAAAGATCAAGCTCCTTAACCCCCTCTCACACTCCTATAAGCCAATCTGACAGGAAATCCTATTACCTCTGCCTTCAATATAGATCCCGAATCCAACTCCTTTTCACCATCTCCACTGCCAGCACTGTCATCAGTCACCTGGACTTCTGCAGTAGTCTCCTTTCTGGTCCTCTGCTTCCTCCCTTACTCCCCAGACACTGTTCTACACTCAGCAGTCAGGGGGATCCTGTTAAATCCTAAGTCAGATCCTGTCCCTCCTTTCTTACAACCCTCCCATGACCTCTGCCTCAGAGTAAAAGCCAAGGTCCTCACCACAACCCACAAACCCCTACCCACCTCTGACTTCACCAACTCCTACATTCTGTTCAGCTATACTGGCCTCCCTCTGGGCTGTGCCCAAATCACCCAGGGGTGCTGGCCCTCTGCCTTCCCTTGCACATGTGCACGCCTCACCTTCTGCAAGCTTGTGCTCAAACCTCACTTGTTTGGAGGTCTACCCTGACCACGCTATTTAATACTATGAACTCCCATCCCCACTTGGCCCTACTCATCCTCTTTACCCTGGCTCTACATTTTCATCCACAGCACCTCACAACTAATTTATTTATCATGTTTGTTTATTTTGCTTCACTCCGCAAAAAATGTGAGCACCACAAGGACAAGGACCTTGGCCTGCCAGGCTCACCAATGTTCCCCCATGCACTGAGAACAATGGTTGGCACAGGCTGGCAATAAACTCCAAACTCCCTGTGATTCCTCAGATTCCTGTTTGCCTCCTGCCCCCTCTGCACCCTAACAATTCAACCTTCCTCTGTGAAGAAGAGGCCCAGCCAGGATGAAGGGCCTCACCGATGAGTCTGTCTCTCTGAAGAGATGGGATCATTGTGGATAGAGCAGGCCGGATGTGATTTTATAGCCTCAGCACAGAGCCTGGCACACAAGAGCATTCAACAAAAGCTTGTCTCTCTGAAGCTATCCATCGCTCCCTTCATGTCATCAACAGCAGTGGCTGCCCTCCCTCACACCTTGAGAGCTTGTTCTGTGCAAGTGTTGAGAGTTCCAAGGCACAATGCCAAGACTAAGGCCGAGATGAGTTACAGATGGGGCTGGGAGATATATACCTCTCAGATATGAAAACCACTTAAATTTTTTTTCTGCCTATTAGGGGGAAAAGCATGGGAACTAATGGGTTCTTGGCCAGGCCAGTGACAGAACCCATGACCCACCTGTCCAGGGCCGCGAACCTGGCGGGCCTGTTTCTCCTGATCCCGCAGCCATTGCAGGTAAGATTCCCGAGCCACCTGCTCCTCAATGGCCTCATTTGTGGCCTCCCAGTCTGTGGCCCGTTTCTTGTCTTCCAGCATCTGCTGTTCAATCCATGACTCCTCCGATGTTTTTATGGCATTCTTCATCAGGGACTGCTCTGCAAACTGAAAAGAGGGAGAAAACAGGGATGTGGGGTAACACTCTGAACCTGGCCAAAAGCAAAGACGGGTTCAGGGAAGTAGGACCAGAGGCTCCAGGAAAGAGGAAGCAGGGAGGCAGGTACTCTCATAAAGTACCAGACCGTCTATTTATCAGGGACTGGGGGAAAGCAGGCTGGGTTGTAGGACCTGTCGTCCCAAACTCTTACACTTGGAAGCCCTGACTTCAACTCCAAGACGGCTCAACTGAGGCACTGAGTCTGGGGCAGCCAGGTGTCCTCCAGCCAAGGCCTTAATTAAAAGAAGCCCCATCCAGCAATGAATCATTTTCACAATACTGAAGCCTTCCTCACATACGTTCAGATGGGACAAAGAGGAAAGAACACCTGAGAAGTTAGCTCTGTGTGCACAAGGTGGAAGGAGCATCTAAGCATGTAAAGGGTTGGGGGAAGCCATATAAGTGTGTGAGGGGAAGAGGGGGCAGTATCAACATGGTGTGAGGTGCTATGAGCTGTAGGACAGTGTATGAGAGTACTGTTTGTCAGACTGTGAGATACAACATTTTAAAAAATGAAATAATAGAGAATATTAGAGTATATCCCAGGGAATAAGTGTAAATATCGTTTTATGAAGCTTTAGTTACCATTATTTAAACATACATATATGCACTAAACACAAACGCATGAGTGCAAAGTAATGATGTAAAATGTAATTTTCTACTGTGGATAATAGTAAAAAAAAAAAGTATGTAAAACTCTAAGTTAGAACAAGCCAATTAAAAACTAGACAAAAAAAAAAAAAAATCTAAATATGCAATCCACCAAAGAAGACATACAGATGGCAAATAAGCCTATGAAAAGATGCTCAACATCATGTGTCATTAGGCAATTAAAAATTAAAACAACACTACACACCTAACACAAGAGCTAAAATGCATAACACTGACAGTATCAATTGCTGGGAAGGATGCAGACCAACAGGAACTTTCATTCATTATGGTGGGAATGCAAAATGGCACAAGCCATTTTGGAAGACAGTTTGGCAGTTTCTTACAAATCAAAATATAGTTTTACAACACAATCCAGCAATCTTGCTCCTAGATACTTACACAACTGATCTAAAAACTATGTCCATACAAAAACTTGCACACACAAGTTTATAGAAACTTTATTCATAATCATCAAAAACTGGAAGCAACCAAGAATGTATTTCAGTAGGTGAATGCTTAAACAAACTGTGGTACCTCCATAAATGGAAGAAAGAAAGAAACCAGCTAACAAGCCATGAAAAAACATGGAGGAACCTTAATGTATACCACTATCTGAAAAAAGAGTTTGAAAAGGCTACATACTATATGCTTCCAATCATATGCTATTCTGAAAAAAAGAAAAACCAGAGACAACAAACAGATCAGTGGCTGTACAAGGAGGGAGGAAAGAAGAGGTGAACATATGGAGCACAGGGAATTTTAAGGGCGGTGAAACAATTCTGAATGATATGGTCATGGTGGATACATGATGCTATGCATTTGTCAAAACCCACAGAACTTTACAAAACAAAGAGTAAACCTTAACATTTGCTAGTTGTCCAAAAGCTCAATTAGGAGGTCGGGGATCCCAAAATGGAATGCAGAATGTGACAAAAAAATCTAAATGTATTACAAATGTAAATGTAAACCTCACTGAAGGGGGTGGGGGAAAACTAGGTGACCTAAATCACTCAGGAAATGGAGTCCTTAACACTAAAGGTAAAAGGAACTGCACATAGAATTGTACTATAGTTGATAAAGTTGTTTTCCATGGGGGTACAGATTAACAAGTATTTTTTTTTTTTTTACTGACCGGTATCGGGATCGCAACCCTCGGTGTCATGCCCGTACTGGGGACTGGCAACGGGATCGCAACCCTCGGTGTTGCGCCCGCACCACGCTCAGCCAGTGAGCGGGAACCGGTCTCCACATGGGATCCAAACCCTCGGCGGGAGCGCCGCTGCACTCCCAAGCGGTGCACTCTCCAGTGCGCCACCGGGCCGGCCCCAGATTAACAAGTTTGATACTACTATATGTGTATATAGAAGTGAGCAGCTAAGTAAATGGATTACAGATGGTGGGAGCCAGGTTTCTCACTGTTGGAGTGGGAATTTATAGATGGACAAGGGGAAGCAGCTAGAATGATGCATATGGTAAGGGGTTAGAATTGGAGACATCAGTAAGAACTCATGTTTAGTTTAATACAGATACAGATGGATACATATATAGAAATAGTTACAGATATGTATGTACACGTTAGTATACATACAGATCTCATTGCTGTCAGCTAAGAAGGCCAACCTAGTAGTGAAGAGCATACTCAGCACCTAGATCTTGGTTTCTAATAACATTCTCTAATAAAAGGTTCCAAAGATTCTTGGAGAAATGGCTGGGAGTAGGACAAGAAATAAACAAGATGAACCTGGGGCACCTTGTGGTACCAGAAAGTAAAGAAGTGCTTTTAAAAATAATTGGAAAAAAAAAATTGGAATAATTTGAGCAACAAAATAAATAAAAGTTGTATAAAATAAATACCCGTAAGTCTATACTGATATAAATAAATGATTGAATAAATTAAGAAATGTGGGACAAGGGCCGGGCTGTGGCTCACTTGGGAGAGTGTGGTGCTGATAACACCAAGGGCATGGGTTCGGATCCCTATATAGGGATGGCCCGTTAGCTGACTTGGTAGAGCGTGGTGCTGACAACACCAAGTTAAGAGTTAAGATCCCTTCACCGGTCATCTTTAAAAAAAAAAAAAGAAAGAAAGAAAAAGAAATATGGGACAAGAGAAAGATCTCCCTTGCAGAGAAATTCCACATAATTTACACAGATACTCTGCCCTCAAGGAGGTGGAATATGACCCCCATTTCTTAGGTGTCAGCTGCACCTGCACTTAGTGACTTCCTTCCAAACAGTACAGTATGGAAAAGATGGGAAAGAGTAACTTTACAGTGGAGAAACCTGGCAAACACTACTCTGCCAGGTGGTCAAGGACAACATCAACAGTCATAAATCACATTCACAGTATATCTCCTTGATATGATGTAATGAGCATGGCACTTTACTGTTGTGATCTTCCTCCCTAAAACTCATAAACCCAGTCTAATCATGAGAAAAACATCACACAAATTCCAAAAGAGAAGCTTCCTACAATATACTTGACCAATACTCCTTAAAACTGTCAAGGTCATCAAAACAAGGCAAGTGTGAGAAACTGTCACAAACAAAGGAGCCTAAGGAGGCATGACAATTTTAGTTAACAATGATGTATCAATATTGGTTCACATATTGTAACAAATGGACCATAGTCATGAGAGATGTTAATAATAGTCAAACTGTGAGCAGAGGGGAGGCGGACAGATGGGAATTCTGTACTATCTTCTCAACTGTTCTGTAAATATAAAACTGTTCTAAGGGCCGAGCCCGTGGCGCACTCGGGAGAGTGCGGCGCTGGGAGCGCAGCAGCGCTTCCGCTGCGGGTTCGGATCCTATATAGGGATGACCGGTTTACTCACAGCGCTCACTGGCTGAGCGCGGTGTGGCCGGTCTCAAAAAAAAGGAAAACAAAACAAAACAAAACAAACAAAAAAACTGTTCTAATCAATTAAGTATATTAATTTAAAAAAAACTTAAAACACTCAAATTTTTAAAGAAAGAAAAAGAAACTGAGCGATCAAACCAGGAAAAGTAGTGGGTGAATCTTAAGAGCATGGTGTTAAGTAAAAAAAGCCAGTCTGAAAAAGCTACATACTGTATGATTCCAATTATATGACATTCTAGAAAAGGTGAAACTATATAGTTGGTAAAAAGATCAAAAACAAAAGCAAGGAAATTCGGAGAAACTGTCACAGCCAAGAGGAACCAAAGGGGACACGACAACTAAATGTAATATGATATCCTTAGATAGGATCCTGGAACAAATAAAGGTCATTAGGGAAAAACTGAGGTAACCTGAATAAGGTACGTCTTTAGTTAATAACATACCAATATTGGTTCATTAATTACGACAAATGTATTATGGTAATATGTTAGTCACAGTTATATATGGGAACTCTTTGTAATATCTTCACAATAATTCTGTAAATTTAAAATTTCTTTTTTTTTTTTTGTCCTTTTTGAGACTGGCCGCACCGCGCTCAGCCAGTGAGCGCTGTGAGCGCACCGGTCATCCCTATATAGGATCTGAACCCGCGGCAGGAGCGCCGCCACACTCCCAGTGCCGCACTCTCCTGAGTGCGCCACGGGCTCGGCCCTGTAAATTTAAAATTTCTAAAATCTTATTAAAAACAAAACAAAAAACCCTATGTTGAATGAAGGGTGTGTTGGTGTCAGGGTATGTTTCCTAAAATGAGGCAGGGGTACTTCCTGTTTGTAGGAAGTGAAACCTGAATAGAAGATATTAAAATCCCCAACAGATGACTATTTATGAGGGAGAGAGTATAAGATGTATCAGTATGTGCTGAGAAAATGCACTGCCACATTCTGAACACCTTTAAGGTCCCAAGCCCAGTGGGGAGATTCTATGAGCCAAGCTGCCGGCCCAGAGTACTTGTACAATCTACCCCACATCCCACAGCCAATAAGCAGTGGGGCCAGGTCTGCACTCCAAGTATCTGAGCACAGCTGTCTGTAACTGCTATGAGTCTGGGAGGAAAATCCATGTGGATGACAAGACACCCAGACTAAGCCCTGGCTCCCAAATAGGACTCAATATCCTAAAATGTGAGCCCTCAACAGGCACAAAAGACAGGTGAGCCAGCTCACAGACAGGCAAACCAAGACCACGAATGAACCCCGAGAGATCACTTCAGGTAACTCCCTAATTTTATGGAGGTGAGACCTCAGGAGAGAACCAACCAGAGAGGTGACAGGATAGTTTCCTAGGCTAAGTACAGAACTGAGACTCCAACAGAGGTTTCTGACCTCTGTATCTAGTAGCCATCCTGCGCACAGGAGTCCACTTACCCCTGGTTTGAATGATGGCAGGCCCAGCCCCACACCAATGGTGGCCTTGTTAGGATTCACCACTGAATTATAGTGGATATTCCGATGGTAGCTGACACGGATGGGTTCATCCTCATTTTGATGGATCCCATGGAATGTGTTGATGGGTTCTACAGAGAAAGAGAAGGAGGGAGCATCCACAGTGTGCCAGATATGGCAGGCTCAGATAAGGTGCCATTGGTCCCTTACCTACCCACCACAGAAGTACCTGTGCTGTATTGGTACACCTCCACAGGACGGTTGTACATCTCCGCCATGGCCTGCATCTCAATGTGATTGCCATGGCAGTTGTTTTTCCGTTTCCGGTTGATGTAGGTGGTGAAGTCCTCTGTGACATAGTTGGAGAAGTAGTCAGCATTCTTCATCTGCAGAACAGGTTGGAAGGTCAAGGTCTGTTTGGAGGAGATCCTCCCACCCTGCCCCTGCCCCTGCCCCAAGGCCTCCCTGAGGTCTCACCAGATAGTCCATGCAATGCTTTCGCACAACCTCATGCATGTCCTGGTCTCCATACACCTGGTCAGCTAAGGGGACAGACAAAAGGAGAGGCTGGAGTCAGAGCTGCCGCCAGAGAAGAGTTCTGAGTCATGAAACATCCTTGGGGGAGGGAGGGCTAGGGGACCAGGGAAACTCCCTTTTCTACCCCAAGGCCTAGAGAGTTCTTGCCCTTGTGGGCTGAAATGGGGTTATGGGAAAAGAAGCAGGCAGCAACAGTCATGAAGAACAAGACAGTGCAGGTGAAAAGGACACAATCACAGGCCTCTCAGGCAGATGACTTCGTCTAGGGAATACGTGGACACTCAAACAAATCAGTAACATTCTAAGTCCCATAAGTGACTGAGCACCACTGATTCCACACCCCCCTTCACTTTCCACATGAGGAAACTGAGGCTCAGGGAATTTGTGGCTCGCCCAGGATCACAAAGAGTCAGTTAGTGACAGAATCAAATCTGGAATTCAGTTTTCCTGACTCCCAGGAGTCAGCATGGGCTGTATAGGTTAAAAGAAAAAAAAAAAGAAAAGAAAAAAACTGGACTCTAAGCCCAGTTCTGCAAGATACTAGTGAGCTAAGTGACCAGAGACAAGTAATCCAAGTGTTTCGAGCCTCATATGCCTCATCTGTAAAATGGGTACAAGGTGGATAACAACCTGGCAGGCCTCTTGTGGGGATTCAATGAGCTAATGGGTATAAAGTGACTAGCACTGGGCTTCGGACAGAGTAGTCACTCAGTAAATCAGAGTCCCCTTCTCCATAGTGAGGCCTGAATGAGGAGGGGTACTATGAAGGTGACAGAGGTAAGTAAAATCCTGCCCCTGCCTTTGAGGAGCACGGTCTAGTAAGAGAGATAAGACACACATGCACCTAACTTCAGCTTAATTCAGAAAGGGCAGGTTGTGGCCCAAATGGTCCAGGTGTCATGAGATTTGGTCAAACTAAGGTGAGAAGGAACCAGGCTTCCTGTGCCTCTCGCTTGAGGATCTTCACACATGCCGTTCCCTCTCTTTAGGAGGCTCTTTCCATCCTCTTCAGCGACCTACTTCTCAAACACCGTGTTCTTTAATACAGTTCCCCACCCTCCAGGTAACCTCCGCCACCAGGTTTATCAAAGGTGTGCACAGAGTTCTGCCTAATCACACTGGGCTCCCACTGAAGGCAGAGGGCAGTTCACACCTAAGTCCACCCCCAGCTCAGGGCCCGATACAGTAAAGGAAATCAGGAAAGTGTGCTGAGCAGATGGATAGGCTGGGGGAGTCAGGGAGCTTTTCTCCCTGGGAAATTAAAGTGGGCTTGAAGATCGGGCAAACTTGATTTCCACTGGTTGAGACGAAGAGGGAATTTCCCTTTCTTTCCCCAGAGGACCACTGCTCTGAAGGGATCTCCCTGGGGCACTGGGTAGGGTCAGGTCACGCAGGGAACACTCCAGAGTTCTTCCATGACCGTCAGTCTACCTCTCCGAAGAACTGTTGGAAGAACGCCTTCGCTTCCCTTTCCCTCCCTGGAGGGTTCTGTGAGATAAGGAGAGAAAGGCTGCTCTGAGATAGAACATGGGGCCCAGGCCTGTCTCAAGTCCTCTTGGAGGTGAAGAGACCTGAGGGGTGAGAAGGAATGGGGGCTGTGAAGGCGGGAAGGGGTAGCCCCTTCACCGATGTAAACAAGGATGTGGGTTCTGTGGTCATACTCTCCCCCGCCCCCCAGTGGCACTTCCAGCAAGTCACATGTCCTGTGCACAGGCTGGGGGCCCTTGCTGCTGCCTTTCTTAGAAGCCAGGACCACAAAGCCCACTGTGGCTGCCCGAGCTGCTTGAGGAGCTATTTCTGTAGGCTGAGCTTGGGGTGCCGGGAGGCAGTGCTGTCACAGTAAACAAGAACTAAGATAGGAGTGAAGGGGTTAAATAGGGTTCGGCCTGCCAGGCTCAGGGAGAAAACTTACCGCCTATGGAAGGGTCAATTGTCATTTCCAGGCCTGGGGGCTCTGCCAGAGCTAGATGCAGGAAAATGGGGAGACTGTGGGACAGGGAAGGGAGCTGGGGGAGAACTGCATAAGGTTCTCCCCCATTTCCCTGCCACTGACCCCTCTGCCTGGCAGAAAGGCTCTGCTGCCTCCTAGCTGTGGGGCACTGGACAAGGCCTTTAACCTCTCTGGGCTGAAATGTCCTCATTCATAAAGTGGGGACAGTAACTCTTCCTCTTACAGGGTATTGTCAATACTACAAGGGAAGGTTTACCAAGCACCTGCGGCATAGTAGGTGGTCAAGAAACAGGAGCTCCATTTGTCAGGAGGACAATGACTGGCTCATATTGCTAGCTACCCAAGTCAGCCAGAATGTTGCCAGAACCACTTATTAAGCCCTTCCTCATTTCTGTTGCACTTCCTTAGCCAAAGGAAAGTCCCAAATGCAGAGCCTAGACTGTCTCTCCTCTTGCAAGCAGAACTGGCTCTCTGCCTTTACTGAATCCAAAGGTCCAGTCTACCTTCTGTACCCTAGTTCAAAACTTCAGCAACCAAATTAATATCAAATTGCTGATACAGGTTTCACAAAACAGGGTCCTTACCTGAGCAGGCTATGACACTTATCTGTAAAACGTAAAATATCACTTTCTCTTCTCAATCCTACGATGCCACTGATAAGTGATATGGTACAACATGCATTTAATCACAGCTTTTAAAGGTGAACCCATCACACTGATTATAAGATATACCCTAATTTTGGAATCATTAATGTGGGAAAAAATGGGCATCTCTGAACCAAGGAAACAGCAATAGGACTTCAGCAACAAGGGAGAAGAATTTCTTCAGGGATATAAGGCAGGAAAAGCATCTAGCACAGAGGTAAGAACAAAATAAGTACTCAACAAAGATTAGCTTTTCTAACGTTCCTAGCCCCACCTCTGTCCTACAGAGAGCCTTCCTCCTCCCAGAAGGTTGGTACATGGGGGTGGGGGTCAGGCTGGACTTCCCTATGGGGAGGACCCCAGGTTGGGGGAAAGAGAAGCCCAACTGACCTGAAGAGGTAGGGGAATTCAGAGAACTTGTTTTGACAGAAACTGAAACTCCTCCTCTTGCTGACGCTGCACTTGTGGGCAATCTGCACCTGCTCTCCCCTTGCAGAGTCCAGCTGAAAGGGGGTCCCTCACTACCCCACCTCTGTTCTCATCCAAAAAGGGCTCAGAAATCCTTAGCACAATACTACAATTGGTTCCCCTAAAGACTTTTCACATTCTAATTCATTTGATCCTCACCAAAAAATCCTACTCTATGCCTAGGAGGGATACTCAGATTTAGAAATGTGGCATAGCTGGCCCAAGATCATACATGTGGGGGTAGAAGGTGAGGCCAGGCTTTCAAGGGGTAACCGCTGGCCCCAGATGACACCACCACCCCTACCCCAATCCAGGTATCACCTTAGTCACTTTACTCCCTGGGGCCAGGCCTGATCCCATCTGCCTCAGTTTCCCCACCAGCATAAGCAGGAATCAGCTGGAACCCAGGAAAGTCTTAGGAGTGGGCAGAGATTACAAATATCAGGGGCTGTACCCCTCCCTAAGGCTACAGAGGTCAGCATGAACCTTACCCCCCAAACACCCCACTTCTTTCCTTTCTCTGAGCATACAGAGACGCCAGCATAGAAACACACATGTGTACACACATACAGCCAGCAAGCCTGCCACAAATGTGCCCTGAGGCCAAATACCCACACAACAAACCCCACAACAGAGAACTATCACATCCCACGAGTAGATGCCTTTGCTACCAACCAGGAAAGGCTGAAGGCTGGACAAGATGTGAGGCTGTATAAACTGAGGAAACCCCCACCCACCTCCTTCCTAGCCTTTGCCAGGGGTGGGGGTGGGGTAACTAATAGCTCCAACAGACTTGCCTCAACTTCTCTCCTCTACCACCTGGGGGAAGTCCTTCCTCTTTGTGTTCCCTTAAATATAACCAATATTTACCCAGAGTTATGTAGAGAAGCAAGACAAGAGAGCCCAGGGCCGGCCCGTGGCTCACTCGGGAGAGTGCAGTGCTGATAACACCAAGGCCCCAGGTTCGGATCCCATATAGGGATGGCCGGTTCGCTCACTGGCTGAGCGTGGTGCTGACAACACCAAGTCAAGGATTAAGATCCCCTTACCGGTCATCTTTAAAAAAAAAAAAAAAAAAAAAGACAAGAGAGCCTGGATTATCTTTCTAAAGAAGTTTAAGTACAGGGTCCTACCATTTGCTTTAGAGGCACCTGAAAACTACCTATTCCCCAGGTTGCTGCCTGCCTGCTTGCCTGCTAGAAGAGCCACAGCAAGTTCCGCTAAGGACAGAAAAGGAAGATTGGTGTCTGCAGGGAACCTAAAAACAAACCACACAAATGTGTGTACACATGGTAGGGAGGAGACAGGGACGTGGTCTGCTCCCCACAACTCTCCTGGTCCAGCGGGAACCCCAGTCCCACTGAGGAGATGAGCCAGGAAAAAGGCCTCGCCTGCCTGTCAAGCAGCTGTGGTGTGACCTGGTCCGTGGCCCCACTACTCCAACTGGCACACCCTCAGTGGGAGAGACAAAGAACTTGGCCCCCTTGAGAGCCTGGTCTCTGAGACATCTGGTCCTCTGCTCAAGGATTCCTGTAGCAAAAATGGGAAAACTGAAAGATGCAGGGCAGAGAAAGGCTGAAGGAAGCTGGCATACAGGAAATGGCCCATGGGAATCTTCTCCTTCTGTGGCCTGGTTCAACATCAGACATTGATGTTCTGACACTGGCTGTGTGACCTAGATAGACATGGTCTTAGCTTTCTCATGAGGCTTCAACTTCCCCATTTATAAAACAGTCAAAATTGATCTAAGATCTATCCCCCCCAGTGTTCACTGTCCATGTTCCAAACCAAAAGGCCCAGAGGAGGGGGCTTGGCTAATGTTTCTGGGCCCCACTGCTGTAACACACACAGCCCTAGCCGCTCCCCTGTGGCCCATGCAGATACACCCACATGGCCTCCGTTTTGCCTACAGAGGCCAGGACCAGAGCCATGGCCAGGGGCAGAGGTTTCTGCTGAGTCAAAGCCAAACGGAGGGAGAGAGGGAGGAAGAGACGCAGACTCGTGTTTCCAGGAGGAGGTTATCTAAGCACAGCAGGGGCAGGGTGGGCCACAGGATACCTCTGTGACTCATGCTCCCACCTCCACTCCACCCAAGCCTTCACTGGTGTTCATAAATCCCCAATAGGAGGTATTGGGAGAGAACTGGGTACAAGCAATGGATACTGGTTCGCACAGGGGACACCCAGACCTCAAAGGCAAATCAGAAGGCAGAAAGCCACCTGCCTCAGGATTCCCAATAGTACAAGGCCATGTGCTCCTGGTTGGAGGAGGTGAGCTAGAGGTGAGCAAGGCCCAGAGAGATCAAGGAACACAGCAGAGGTCACCCAGCCATTTGGCAGCCAAGCTAAGAAGCTAGGGCTCCTAAGATTATAAAAGAATGTATCTTTGGACACCTCTGGGTTCTCATGCCAGCTCTACCACTAATGACCCTGGGCATGTCATTTCCCTTTTCTTTTTTTTTTTTTTTTTTTAAAGATGACCGGTAAGGGGATCTTAACCCTTGGCTTGGTGCTCTCAGCACCACACTCTCCCAAGTGAGCCAACCGGCCATCCCTATATAGGGATCCGAACCCGTGGTCTTGGTGTTATCAGCACCGCACTCTCCCAAGTGAGCCATGGGCTGGCCCCGTCATTTCCCTTTTCTGAACCTCACCTTCTCACCTGTCTCATGGGATAATGATCCAAATTTTGCAGATCAGCCGGAAGTACCTAGCCAAATGCCTACCACACATCAGGGGTCACGGAAACAACAGAGTGCCCTCTATGTTTGCACTCCGCCCCCAACTCCAACTCTCAGCTATGTGCTCCTCCCACTATTCAATGCATGGTAGGAAGGAAGAGCCTGCAGGCCTTTGCACTAGAGTCTAAGTGACTGCCATCTGTCCCTGTCCAGGCTAGGTTGGAAACGGGGGTGGCAGAAAGCCTGGGGACAAAGTCCTCCTCCCAGGCACATGTATTGTGCACTCTGCACCAAGGAAACCTCTAGATGAGGCCTAGAGACTGGGGCCATGTACTTCTGGGGAGAGGCCATGGAACTTCTGAGGTTTTACAGAGAAAAGCTGAGAGCAGCCCAGTTAGGGGAAATGTGTAGCCATAGCACTGATAAGGAAAGGCCTTCAACCTGCCGTGGTCAGCTCTTCCTGTAAGCTCAGGCCCCTTACTGGAAGGGCCCAGTGGGGGGATGGGTTACGGGGTATTTGGGGAGAACAGCTAGATAGACGCACATACACATAAATACTGCTTTTGATACAGGTTACTGCACATGACAGGACCTCACTAGCCCTAAGGTCTACCACAATGACCACCCGAGACCCAGATGCCCAGCTGCAATCTCTGACCCTAACTCCACCAGCAGCCCTTCTTGCTCCGCATCCAGCCTGATGTCTTGACACAGGGCTTCGCACCTAACAGGCCCCCATCTATTCTTTCTTTACCTTCCTTCTGTTCAAAATACCCCCCAGCTCTTTCTCTAGGGAACACCCCAGGGAGAACACAACTTGAGCCAGAGGGGTAGGATTGAGATTTTTTTCCAGCCCAACAGGGTTCATTGCCTAAACCTCTTCTGCTTGGTAGAAGAAGGAGGTGACCACTTACCCCATCTAACTTTCTTTCACCCATTCGAAAAACATTTGTGGCTCTGAGGCACCCACTGAGAATAGCATCCGGGCTTTACCAATGCTATTGTTCCACGATGGTCTACTATGTGTCAGGCGCTAAAGGGATTTACCAAAGTAACCTCATTAAACCGTTACAACACTGGGGTCTTTTAGCCCCATTTTACAGATGAGGAAACAGGCTCAGAGAAGAAGATCTGCTTGCCCAAGGTCACACCAAGAATCGGTGGCACAGCCAGGAGTGGAGCCTGAACCAGTCCAGCCCACCAGTAGACATGGGGGGTACCCACAGGCTGAGAGAATAACAGACCCAGAAAGAATGAAAGGAGCCCTTGAAAATCATCACCATTTTGCAGATGGGTAAATGGAGGCTGAGGGTCACACAGCAGTTATGAGTCAGGGCCAGAACTAGAATATGTATCTTCTGACTCCCAGCTCAAAGCTCCTATCCGAGGGCACATTTCCTCTGTAGGTATCAGAGCCCCAAAGGAAGGATCAGGTCACACTCCTAGCTTTCCGTTCATACAGCATAGGACCTCACATCTACATGCTGGGTCACAGATTCAGGGCCAGGAGAGTCTCAAAGAACTTGCTCAGACCGGATAGCAAATGGTACTAAAGAATTATTAATTTTGTTAGGCACAATAATGGCATTTTGATTATGTTTAAAAAAAAAAAAGAATCTGGATCTGTCAGAGAAACACGGAGAAATATTTACAAATAAAATGATCGAATGTCAGGGTTTTGTTTTAAAAATACTCGTTTCAGGGGAATGAGAAAGAGTGGGCAGGATAGAGATAAAACAAGGCTGGCCATGTGTTGATGACTATTTTAAAAGTGGATGACGGATACATAACAGTTTACTATTATCTCTACTTTTGTGTAAGTTAAAAAAAATTTCTACGATAGAAGAAATGTATAAAGATCTAGTTTGATACTCCACCCCCCCACACACAGATGGGGGAAAGAGAGACCCAAAACGCACCAGAGACAGGATCTGGGTGCAAACCCAGGTGTCCTATATCCCAGGGTCACAGCAATGTGCTGTGGTTAAGAGCATGGGCCTCCAACTAATCTAACCCAGATTCCGAATCTCAACTCTACCACATCCTATCTATTTGACCCTGGACAAGTCACTCCTCATCTCTGAGCCACTTTTGTCATTTGACAAATGGAAGCAACAATAGTCCCTACACTCACCTAGCTTGAGAGAGAATTAAAAGCGTTTCCTGTAGTGCCTGACAGAGAAATCTGTCCCTAAGTGATGTTATTTTCTTTATCACTATTATTGCTATTATTATTATTACTCTTGCACCACCACACTGTCTCACGACCCAGAGCTAGAGGCCCGATGCTAACTTAAGTCTGGGTCCTGGAGTCCCTAAAAAATCAGCTAACTCTGCCTCAACCCTGTCTCAGAGGCTACTCCTGATAACTGGGACACAACTCAGGGGTAGCCCTAAGCCCTAAAGAGCTGAGGCAGAGACTCACCTACAGCCCGGAAAAGACAGGCGCCATCCTCCTTCATTTGCTTGATGATGAAGCCTTTCTTGTCTCGTAGGGCCTTTTCAAACCAGTGCTCCTGCTGGAGGAAAGAGGTGGGAGTCAGCAATGGGGAAGGTCTGTATCCCTTCCCTCCCTGGGGCCCTGCCCTCAAGATCCTGAAAGGCCCAGATGATTGTGTGACCACTCATGCCCATGGAAAAGGAGGAGACCCTTTCTTTTAGGGAATCATTCACTGGGTGAGCATAAGACTTGCTCCCAGAGGGGCCCCAAGTGCCCCGAGAGCAGAGGCCCCACCTGCCTTCTAACCCCAGCTGACTGTTCAGGGCCTAGCCCAGGCAGCCATATTCCCTCAGGCAGCCAGAGGCCCAGACCCAGTAAGTGCCTGGGTGGATAATCTGGCTCTATTTCAAGGAGTTTCACCTAGGGGAGATGTTAAAGAGGGAATGACTGGCAAGAACCTAGATCCTGAACCCTACATATAGCTAGACAATTCCAAGATATACTGTATAAGGCAAAAAGGGTGCAAAATATGATCTCATTTGTGATTGAACACATTTACATATACATACACATTTACATATATACGTTACATATACGATCCATATACATATACGCTTATACACGATATATGTAAGTAAATACAAACACATATGCACACAAAATTGGGAAGGCTAGACGACTAAATAGTATCCCTAAGTACTGACATTACAGGTGATTTTACTTCACCTTCCCTCTTTATAAAGGTATGCAATCCCTCATCTAAAATTCCAAAATCCATAAAGCTTTGAAAATCAAGTCTTTATCTAACTTATTCGCATCATAACCTGACCCGAACTGACCAGACTCTATTTATCCCACCTGGGGGTGAATAGTCAAACATTTCAACGCATAAAGGTGTTTGATTATGAGGTGCTGCCCCAGATCCCACTGGAGGTGTTACATAATACAAAGTATACACACCAGATGACTTTTCTAAATTCTGAAATTCTTTTAAATTCCAAAGCACATCTGGCCCTGAAGGTTCAGGTTAAGTGAACCTGTAAAAACGCGTTTTTTTTTTATTTTTAAAAAAATACTGACCACGTACCACTTAAAACATTTCCCATTTCAAAACAAAACAAACCAGAAGCAGCAGACCTTTCCTGGGCCCCTCACGCCCTCTGCTGGCCAGCAGCAGCAGCCAACCTGACCCAGCAACAGGGCTGGAAACTAGAGTCCCAAGCCTGTTCCTTGGGGACACCTCTATGACCAGGGATTTATAGAATCCAGGCTAATGCTGACCAGACAGAAGGGCCCACCTCTTTGCAAGGCCATTTTCCCCCAGCTCAGGCAAGGGGTGGAACCCATCCCCCAGGAAAAGCAGGGGAGAGGAACCTCTGGCAAAGTAGTAAGCACAACGTTTGGAGGCAGAGAGCCTCTGGGTTCCAACCCCAGCTGCCACTCACTTGCTGCCTGATTTCAGGTAAGCCGCCTCAACTCACCAAGCCTCAGTTTCCTATCAAATGGGGGATATGTGATCTACTTGACGGATCTGTCAAGAGGCTCAGAGGATATTATAACACCAAAGTCAAGGGTCCGAATCACCAGCCAGCTCAGAGGAGTTTAAGGACCTGAGAGGGTTTGTAAGTGATGCACCATATACTGGTAAGGTGGTCACCAATCACAGAAGTGTAAAGACCAGCACAGAGAGATGATGTACAACTGAGAGACCCTCAGAAAGCCCTAGGTGAGTAGTTTAACAGGAAGGGATAAAGAGGGGGTGACAAGGGAATACCTGGCCAGTCCTACCATCAGGGCCCATACCCCAAGAAGGTGTGGCTGGATTTCCAGAGATGACAAAGGCACATGAAAGCCCTTAATAGGCTTCCATGGGCAGCACAAAGACTTCTGTTTGTGCACAACATTCCAGTGGTCCACGTGCCCCTCCTGTCCCAGAGGCTGTGGACTAGCACACTCCAGCCAGTTTCCCCCAAGTCCATCCCTTCCCCACGGGGCTAGCCATCTCCTAGAACCATGGGGCCTGCCCCATCCAGTGGTCTCTAGCAGGAAAGCAGCAACTGTAACTATAACCTCAGATCTGACAGAAGAGTTCTTTAAAGGGGGGGGGGGGAACACAGCAACTTCCTGCCCCCCAGGTGTAGAGGGAGGGGAAATAGAGAAAAGAAAGGGAGATCAAAGAGGAGGAGGGGGGGTCCTACCTATTCACCCAACAAAGATGTATACCAAGCAGCTACTGAGTCAGATCCTGGGCTGAGCAATGAGGACAGGGAAACGAATCAGACTTGGTGTCTACCCCGGATAAGCTCACAAACTGCTAGGGGAGGGCAAGGGAAACAGAGGACAACCACACACATCGTAATTAGGGCTGAGAGGTGAACGTGGGGTACTGTGAAACAGAGGAAGGAACCTGACCCAACCACTAAGGCTGGCACCTGAGAGGAGGTGCCACCTGAGCAAAGGATTAAAACACCAAGACCTCCAGAAATGCTTAACTGGATGAGAAAAGAAGTCACTTCTGCCACAAAGCACCAGGGATGTCCGGAGCCCAGCAACGAGTTCAGTGGAGCTAAAGTCCTGGGTAGGACTAGGCAGGTAAGCAGGGAAGCACCAGGAAGATGAACTCACATTAGCCAAATGCCTGCCCAACACCAGGTGCCAGATGCAAAGGGTGACTTCGTTTAGTTGTCCTTACCATTTTACAAAGGCAGAAAGGAGCTAGGGTTTGGGCACTAACAACGTCTAGTGTAGAGGCACCAAGGGAGGCTCTGTGAGCCACAGCATGCAGGCATACCTGGCAGCCTGTCCTGGGAAAATCCTGGTTGGGCCCTAAAAATGAAGGACACCTGGGTAGACCCCTTGCGCAGGCAGGGTTTGGGTCCTAGGGCAGTCAGACTGGCATCTTGGCCTGGATCTAGAAGCTGGATCAGTAGTCATCCACTGGCTTTGGCACCAGCAGCCTTAAGAGATTGGGCCCTGGCCCTTCTCTCCCTCCCTTTGAGGAGAAAATGTTTAGGGAGGGGGATTGGGGAATAGCTCAGGCACATATAAGCTTAAGCTACATCAATGCCCTGGCCTGAGGTCAAGTCTAGGCCCTGAACCTTGCAAGACCACTGCTGAGACTGTGGGAGAGTCTCTCCACAAAAAGGCTGGGCGAAGCTCTCTGACACCAGTGTATCCCTGGAGATGAGGCAAGACACTGCAACCTACTGGTCTAAAGGCCCAAGAGAAGTTGCAGCAAACTGTGGAACCCAACTGACTTAGATTCCAATCTAGCTCCACCAATTATTACCCATGTGATGAACTGCCACATGTTTTTCTGAGCCACAGTTCTCCAATCTGTGAAATGGGGATAAAAAAAACCTCCCCAAAATAGGAATACTGGGCAGATTCAAATACTACAGGACTTTGCTCAGTAGGACACCACTTAATGAGTTCCCTTCTATTCCCTAGAAGGGAAACTAGAACATCTCAGTAGTAGGCTGAATAATGTCCACCCAAAGATGAAACCCTAATCCCCGGAACCTGTAAATGTTACCTTATAATGAAAAAGGGTGTCTGCAGGTGTGATTAAGTTAAGGCTCTTGAGATGGGGAGATTATCTCAGGGTATCTGATGGGACACAAATGTAACCACAAATGTCCTTATGAGAGAGAGACAAAGGGAGATAGGATATAGACAGAGGAGGAAACCACACACACACAGAAAAGAAAGTGATGTGAAGAGGGAAGCAGAGTTGGAGTGATGCAGCAACAAACCAAGGAATGCTGGCAGCCACCAGAGCTGGAAAAGGACTGGATTCTCCTCTAGAAGTACTAGAGGGAGTGTAGCCCTGCCAACACCTTGATTCTGGCCCAATGAAACTGACTTTGGATTTCTGGCTTCCAGAACTCTGATGGTTTAAAACAAATTTCTGTTGTCTTAAACCATTGTGGTAATTTGTCACAGCAGCCACAGAATACTAATACGAACCCCTTGTAGCACTCCTTGGTGTTTGAGCTCTAGGGCCTCATGGCTGTGAGACAACATGGCATGGCTTCCACTCTTCAGGATCTACCTCCCTAGCATCCTCCCAAGGAGGGGGTTAGAATTAAGGCAGCAGGGGCCTGGGATCCCCCCCAGCCTGGGTAGCTGCTGACCCTTCCTATAGATAAATGAGCTGCCACTGAAGAGGGGAGTGGGCAGAGGAAGATGGCAGCAGCAGTGGCAGCTCATGGACAGATGTCTTCTCAGAGCCCATGGCCAAGAGGTGTTTAGTATTCTGGGCCTTACAGCTCTGTCCCAGCAACCCTGATGCCAAAACCATCCCCTCCCCCCAAACACCCAGGAACACTGGCTCAGCTCCATGAGCAAAACAGAGACAACCCATCCAATGAGAGAAACAGACAGACACACTGCTCTCTAAGGACCAACACAAGCCCTCCAGAGCAGAAGGGGAGAACAAGTCCCCAACCTATTGCTGGGCCACTGAGAGAAGGGAGATTAAAAAACCCCAAGATCTTATTATGCAGCAATAGAAAGGAATGAAGTACTGATACATGTTACAACATGGATGAGCCTTGAACACATTATGCTAAGTTAAGGAAGCCAAGTCACAAAGGACCACATGTTGTATGACTCCACTTATATGAAACATCCAGAACAAATTAATCAAGACAGAAACTAGATAGGGGCTGGAAGGGGATGAGGGGATGAAGGGATAATGGCTAAGAGGTGCAGGGTTTCTTTTGGGGGTGATGGAAATGTTCTAAAATTGTGATGATGGATGTGAATAAACTAAATCATTGTACACTTTATACTGGTGATTTTTATGGTATGTGAATTACATTTCAATAAAGCTGTTAAAAAAAAAAAACATATACCCAACGGTCTACAGCACCAACCAGGGTGAAGGATGCTGAACAGTGCTTGAAATATCACAGTACATTCCCCCAAAGGCAACACATCTCCAAAAGCCAAGGGTCTCACTTAAACCTTTCATGAAGGGTGGGGGAGTGAGGAGCAGAAAATTAAAGAGATCACAACTTGTTTCAGAATAATGAGTCCAACCTCCCTCACCACTACCCATATTTCATAGATGGAGAAACCAAGACCAGCAAAGGCAATTGCCCAAAGACCACACAAAAGTCTAGTGCAGAAACTGGACTCAATTCCCTGTTGTCTGGACAGACCACTTCCTGCTTCCCCACCAGTTAACTACCCAATTCCAGAAGGAGTAAGAAGAGCCCAAGGAATTGAAAGGTTCCTAGATGCATGATGGGGCTTTGCTACCAAAAACTGGTTACTAAGAGTGGACAAAGGCTCCTAGGAAGAATCAAGATGACCCTGGAGTAAACAGCCCATCCTGGATAAGAGGAAGAACCAGCCAAGGTCCAAGGTGGGCAAGGTCAGATATTCACAAACTCAATAACCCTGCACATGGATGGACTTTTGGGAAAAAAGGCAACTGAGAAGGGAAGTAGTTCGCCTAAAACCATAAAGCAGCTAAGCAGAAGACATGTGGGTCTGAACTCAAGCCTGCCTGACTCCAAAGCCCAAACATTTTCCACACACAACTCTACCTCTCCACATTATCCAGCAGGCCCCTCAAAGAGGAAATCCCACTTAGCTTATCCACTACAGCACAGCTGGCCACAAAAATTGCTGTCAACCCTAAGCCTCACACTGAACAGGCTACTTGTACTGCCCACGAAGCTTGGATGGCTGGAAGGGAATAGACCGGCAGGGAAGACAGGGGAGGAACCCAGTTCCACCACAAAGAACACCTACCATTCTCTGTCACCTCCAGGTCCAGAGGGCTTTGGACAGAGTTCCCTAAAATACCAAAGTTAAACGACACCTCACTAGCACCTTACCTGACCGGTGAGGAAACAGGCCCAAAGTGCATAGGCAGAAGCTATTCTAGTTCATCCAGCAAAGTCCCAACACCCAGGCACCCTGACTACAGTGCCAGGTTCAGCTGCTTCTACCACTTCAGCTTGAACGCCCTCTTCTCAAGAGCTCTGTGGGGTCCCCAAGCTCACGATGCTTACAAGCCATCCTTTTCACAGGGTAGACTGTCAGCAAGGAAGCCACACCTGGGAAAGGAAACCCCTGATATCACCACCTCCCCAGCACCTGGACTCCAGGGTGCCAAAGACTCCTAAAGGGAGTAAGGTACATTCACAGAACTGGGACAAACAGGAAGCCCAAGTAGTCAGAATCAGGACCAGATTTACCATCCAGACTCCCTCTCAACAACTCCCCTCTTCCCAAGGGATCCAACTAGCCTTCAGGCTACAAGTGCCCTGGTGACAGCTCAGGACCAAGACTGGAGTGACAGAATCTCCCCTCTTCCCATCCCAAAATGTCCCAAGTTGGACCAAGTGGGGCAAGGAGAAGAGGAGCATTTTCTTCCTCCCTTTGTCCTAAGAAGCGGGAGGACAAAAGACCTCTCCTCTGTCACTGGGAAGCACAGGCTTCATTAGCCCAGAACTTTCTTCTGTGTTCTCATGGGGACAAGTATAAGGGAGGGACGGGAGGTGGGGACAATAAAGAGATCTTCTTTGAGACGCCATGGCAGCACAGGACCTTTTTCCTCTCTGCCCCTGGGACCAGGGATGTATCGCTCCCCTATTTCTGTGGGGGAGGAAAGTGACTTTACCCCAACCAAGGAGAGGAGAAAACTCCTGGTCCTGACCCTGTGACTCCAGATGATTTATCCTGCCAGAAATGATTGCTGGGAAGGGAATAGGGGATTCAAGACAAGGCCCTGGCCCATGTGAAGTACAGATTTACTTGGGCCAAGGGGGAGAGGGATGTTGGAGAATTTCCCTAGAGTGGGAATGTCCCCAACCCATCCCCCCCATCTCTGGGAAGATAAAAGCTTGTCAAAGGCAGTTCAGACAGAGCACAAGGGTACTTAAAAAGTTCATGGAAAGGGCCGACCCCGTGGCGCACTTGGGAGAGGGTGGTGCTCCCACCGCGGGTTCGGATCCTATATAGGGATGGCCGGTGCGCTAGCTGGCTGAGCGTGGTGCGGACGACACCAAGCCAAGGGTTGCGATCCCCTTACCGGTCACAAAAAAGACAAAAAAAAAAAAAGTTCATGGAAAGACAGAATTAAAAAATAATACAAATCTTTCCATGAGCTTTTTAAAGATCCCTCATATCTCATATCTTCCTGACCCTGGAAGCGGAAAGCAAGCATAGCTGCATCAGGAAGAGACTCAGAATCTCTCCCAGTTCCAGAGGGGAGGCCTCAGACTCCACATCTCCAGGACCTGGCAACCTTCTCATAGAAGACAGAGGGACCTTCTTGGCACTGGCCATGAGGAGGCTCAGGGTAAATGGTTCTTATGACCCTGATGAACACTCAGGTCCTTCTGTCCAGTGGGGAAGGCCACCAGCCACACTGAAGATGACCTCATGTCACTCTCCCTAGTGATAAAGGAATGCCTGGTGTGGTAAGAGCAGAGCCTCATGGCCAAGGGGGAGTTTAGGCCCCAGTCCCTAAGGTGAAAGTCCCAAGGGGAAGCTCAGGCCCCTGGGAAGAGGTCCAGACTTCTGAGAATTCCACCCTGCCCATGTCTATGATGGGAGTGAGGGGATCTTAGGCTCAAGTCTCGAAGGCAGGAAATCTTATGTCCCTAAAAGGCCCCTATGACTAAGATATGTGGTGTGGTGTGAGGTGACAGTCAGTGCCCTCAAGGCAGATTCAGGTCTCGGGTCCTAAGGTAGGGAACTGGCCCTCACACACCTGAGGTAAAGTTCAAACCCATGTGGGGAGACTCAGGACCCTGTTCCTCAGAGACCTTAAATCCATGAGCCAAGGTGAAGGTCTTAGGGCTCAGTTCTGCGGGGGAGTACTCCTGCTCCTGATGGGCACCTCAAGTTCATTGAGTAAGAAGCTTGGACCTTATCTCTAGAGACACAACAGTCACTGGGGTATGTACAGGTCTCCTGTCCCTGAGGGAAAGCTCAAATGTCCTTGGCAAAGTGGGTCTCAGACCCTTGAAGGTAGGCTTGGATCCACAGGGAGGCCTCAGACATCATCTCTGGAATCCCATGTTGCCCATGTCCCCTGAGGAGTGGTCTCAGGCTCAAGTTCTCAAGGCAGGGGTCGTATGTCCCCGACAAGAAACTCAGGTCTTTGGGGGTAGGCCCTCGGATCCCTGTTACAGAGGGAAAGACAGGATGTTATATCCCCCAGGTGTGTCTCAGTCCCTTATAATTGGGGTGGGGGGGGTCTCAGACCTCCAAGAACACTCAAACACCAATCCCTGAGGAGAAAGGTCTCCTAAAGACCTCACCTTGCCTGAGACCTCTGCAGGGAAACCACTGAAGAGACCTCAGACCTAGGCTCTAAAAACCCCAGTTCACAGGCATGAGAATCTGAGGCCCCAGCATCCAAAGCTCTGAGTCTCATTTTCTTGAAAATAAGTTCAGAACCTTGAAGGGGTTGGGAGGCAGTCAATGGCCCATTCTTTAAAGGAAGTTTAAGGTTCTGGAGAGAAGTTCAGACCCTTCTCTCCAAGGAGGGAGGTCTCAAGCCACTGATAGAAAACATAGATCCGATAAGTCTCTGGTCCCTGGGTGTTGGTTTTGGCCCCTGTCCCCAAGGGGGAGGGAATCTTATCTCCCTGAGAGATCTCACACCCCTGGAGGAAAACTAAGAAGATCCTTTTCTCTAAAAGCCATAAGTTTGTGTGGGTCTGTCACGCCCTATAAATCCAGAAGAGGGAGTCTCAGGCCCCTGAAGGCAAGCTTAGGACCCTTGAGGAGATCTCGGCCCCACTGTTGAGTGGTCCTGTGCCATGTCATCCTACAAAGAAGAGAACTGTCCTATATGCAGAGTATCTCAGACTCTTAAAAGGGTTTTTAGGTTCCTTGGGGATACTCAGACTCCATCTCTGAGGTCTCCACATTATTTGAGTTCCCTGGAGGGGTAGTCTCAGACTCTTATCCCGTAGGAAAAGATCTCAAGCCACTGAACATAGACCTAGGTCCCTTAGAAAAAACTCTGATACCCCCTGAAACTCTCCCTCAGGAGGCGCTCATTTCTGCTTGTGTCTGCTGGGGAATTCCCACCTACTGGCCCTACAAGATGAGATCCGGGGGCCTGGAACGACGACTATAGGCCCTAAAAGAGGTCTCGGACCCATCATTAAGTTCCTGACCTTACCTGAGGCCTCTAACCCCAAGCCCAGGGAGAGGGGGTGGAGGAGTGGAGGAGGAAAGACAGTGTGTCATGCCCCTACCACCACAGAAGAGTATCAAATACTGAAAGAAGGGCTAGGTCCCTCGGGGCGATCTCTGTGTTCCTTGGGTCCCTTCTCAGTCTGAGGATACCGTATGCCACACCCGCCCATCCCTCACCCCCCAGCCCTTACCTGCTCGACAGTGGCAGGGTCCATGGCCTCGATGCGCGCTGCAGCTGCTTCGTACTCGTCTTCGCTGTTATACCCTGCGCCAACGTCCTCACGCTCTGGACTACCCCCACCAACCGCACCAACCCCGGGAGCTTGACGCCGCCGCTTGCTGTGCCCGGGCCCCGAGCAGCAGCCACCCACGCCTACGGCACCGCCCACGCCCACCACCACGCCCGCCGCCCCCACACCCGCCCGCCGCCCCCCCCCCCGCCGCTCCTGCGCCCAGCGCGTCGCCAGGACCGCCG